TGGGCACACTGGGCCTGCCAGAGCGAGCTCCTGGGGACCTTTCCTCTACCCCCATGGAGTCTCCTTTGCTCTCAGAAGAAACCTTATAGGTCTGGTTGTGTTTGTTCATTTTGTTTCCTGACCTGCTCCCTTAGGCCACAAGCTCCTTGGGGAATGCTGTGTTTTGTTGTTTTATCTTGGGTACCGTGTCCAATGCTTGCCATAGCGCGCACACCAAATGTTTGCGGAATGAAAGAATGCTTAAAAAGTAGATCCCACTAACTTCTTAAACTCCACATAACCATTTCAGACATCCCAGAAAAAGTTGAATATGGGCTAGATCCAGGTGTAGAAATGTTATATTCAGACTATAGTCAGATATAATCATAAGTTCAAATAAACTAGGGACGGACTTTATTAGTTCATGGGGACATTGGATGATTTAAAATGTTGCAGATTATTATAGGAATCTGTGCATTACATGTTTTTGTGTACTTATAATTAGCAAGTTGGTTCACTTCTGAGTTTAAGATTGGCATGTTATATATATATATATCTCTGTTTATACTGATTTAATTCTTAAGTGTTGACTTTATTCTAGGACTTTGACAAGTGGTTTGGAGGTGAAAAGCATAGTCTTCATACTCTTAATATCTTTTGGGGTGATAGGAAAGACATAAACCAAGGGTGGAGAGTGAAGCCTTCAGATCTCGTAATTGGTTAATCCTGGAAGGTGAGTTTCAGTTTAACATCTGGCTTTGAAACTGTCTGTGTGAAGATATTCACTACTTTTTAAGGGAAACGTGTATTTTCTTCATTGAACTGAGTAGCTATGTTTGATTATCTAATTTATTTCATGTATACTTTAACTTTTATATGTTTGCTGGGGATTAGAAATAGCGTTTAGAAATTTTATTGAGAACCAGTGGGAAATGGTACCCCTCTTGGTCAGGTGCAGCATTTCAAGTTTAATAAACAGGAGAGTGTACTGGCAAAACATGGTGGTTGTAACTGTGAGACGCGATAGTATCAGCTATTAGTCAAACCGGGAATTTTCCTCTCCCACCCAAAGTAACTGATCCATGTTTAGACCAGAATGAGTGGAAGCCATGGAGTCTAATCCAAATTCCGGCTCAGAAGTTTCTCATTGGAGAATCATCAGATGATGATGAGTCATTAAAATCATAGTGAGGAGTTCCAATGATGGCATCCAGGGCCCCTGCTCTGAGATGGCGCCTGTTTGCTGGTCACACGTTTGTTATTGCTACTCATGGCAGAGGACATTAAGATTACTAGAAAAAAATATTTTGAAGTGGTATCATGTGTTCATCAGAAAGAAATGAGTGATTCTGGTCACCGGATTTGCCCAGGTTTGTAAATCTTTTCCCACCCATTTCATCCCTCTGTTAAAAGTACATGTTATCAAGTTCAAAGACTAATTCTAGGCATTCTGGTAGACAGAACTAGATGTGTCTTGATTCAATTTTACTCTTTTTTATTATGTTTTCCTGATTTTTGAGACAGTTATCCCACCCATTTTTGCTGCTGTATCTGAAGTACACTGTTTTATTTTGCTGTTTTCTGTAAGATGTGAGAATGAGATAGGATGTCTAATTTAAGTGACACATACTAAACACATATATACCATGAGGGAGATACTTCTAAGCAGATCATCTGCAAATAGTATACTTTACCATTAAAATCAAAATTTAACTTCATGATTTAAAAAAAAAACATGATTTTCCCAACTTTTACATACATAATTAGAAATATAACATTTATTATCAGCGATAGTGTCAGCGATTTGACCTAGAAACAATAAAAAATATTTGCCTGCTTGAAAAGTTATTAGGTGAAACTGATGTTTCCAGCTAGAATGCTGTTACTGGGTAAGGTAAATAATTTTAAAATTGATTAGCCCCAACTAAAAGGCGAAGTCACGGGCCCCAAGAAAATGAATAGGTGTGTTGAATAGAGAATGATGTGAAAAATGCGAGGATCCTTAAAGTTAAACTGAATTTGGTATCAACACTGTTCCCTAAGCCACTACTGAGAAATGCGTTTTTAAGATTTAAGATTGTGTAAATGCTTTTGCACCTAAAACTGATGGAAGTAATTGGTAAACTGGTTAATAAGCCCCACTTGGAAGTGAATGGGAGTTGCAGGCAGGAAAACAGGCTGGGTAAGTAATCCTGAGTTCCCTTCGCAGAGAGAAACAAAGATAGCAGTAATTAATGACCCTGACTCCGTGCCAGAAAAGCTTTCTTCTGACAACTCCAACTTAATTAAAACTTAAGACATTTCAATGGCCTCTGCAAGCCCCCGATGGGGTGAACCCTTGCAGACGCGTGAGAAAATTTTGTAAATTAAAGGGAAAGATGTGTGTTACCACTAGTGCCATGACTCTAATCCCTGACAGTCAAAGAATCTATTTAGCCGGAGCCTTTTCTTTTAAAAGGCTCACACCTGCAGGCTTCCTGGCACTTCCTCTGCACCAGAGAAGGCCGCTTTTTGTGCTGTG